TATATATATATATTCAGTAATAATAATATTTAAAATAATTTATGCAAAATATTTTGTTTATATAAATATTTATTTAAGTGTACTCTTATAATTATCCAGTAAGTAAGCTTCAGTATAATACAACACATTTTCAAAAATAAAATAAATTCTGATATATGTTTAAATTCATTCTTAGTGAGATCATATTCACTCTGAATGAGCTTCACACATGCATTTGCATAACACCAAGAGTTGAGTCTGACAGGTACAGCATGACTGTTTCTGAAATTACCTGCGGTGTGCCAATGACATCACAGTCATGATAGATTTCACTCTGAATACAGATCAGCTCCTACCACCATGACTTCCAAAATCTGAAAAAAAAGAGAAGACAAGAGAGTTATAAATTACTATTCAAAAGAATCCAAACACAGCAGTTTTCTGAGGCAGTACGAGGGGACGAGCTGTTGTGGGATAAAATTAGACTAACCACCGAGAAATACGACAGAATTAGAACTGAAAGAGCGATTGAAGAGATTCGCCGCTGTGGTTGGAGACCACACATGTTCAGGCGCATGTTCAGGACAGCTTCAACAAACGCAAGATGACGGACTTCACTCTGAGCCGCCACATGAGAGGCTGTGCGTGTGTGGTCGCAGATATATCAACCCGCGATTACAGCTGCTTCCAATAAACGCCTGCATGAACGGAAATATATACACAATGAAATCCAAAAGACCCATTTTCATACGGTACGAGAGAGAGGTCGGTTAGCACACGCGGTAGAGTTTACTAATGAATAGCATACTCGCTAGCAAAATGATTCAACTAAAAACAAACACCCCAAACATTTATATGCTGAAGATAAACTTGCACTAAATGTCGTGACACATACTGATCCGGTGGCATTAGATTTGCATGAAACACAAAGAACTCGCTCCACTGAGATTAGTTTCATGATTATTCTGAAGTTAAAAGCCTATTCATGCAGGATTTTACTAAAAGACCCCCTCATAGTGAGTGTGACTATTCACCTTGTGATGCCAAAGCATCATTGTACAGGTTGATTTGGCAAAAAAAAAAACGACCAGAAGCAATGTGAACCACCAACAAAAACTGGTAATATCACCAGCTCAAGGTCAATGTGGAATTGCAGTTCCAGTCACATCATTTAAAGGAACTGTTCACCTAAAATTGAAGATGCCCAGGCCATCCAAGATGGGAACAGATTTGGAGAAATGTAGCATTGCATCACTTGCTCACCAGTGGATCCTCTGCAGTGAATGGGTGCCGTCAGAATGAGAGTCCAAACAGCTGATAAAAACATCACAATAATCCACAAGTAATTCACAGCACTCCAGTCCATCAGTTAACATCTTGTGAAGTGAAGAGCTGCGTGTTTGTACTAAGTAAATCCATTATTAAGGCGTTTTTAACTTTAAACCATTGCTTCTGGCTAAAATACGAGTCCTCTATCCATAATATTGCCTGGAGCCGTTTTAGATTCTCTCCTATCCTGTCTTCATTCTCTCTTAGTGGGATCTCTCTGTCTTGACTAATGCACCGGAGCAGATCTGGGTCAGTGCGTAGCCAAGCTGAGAGACGGTAGTAAAGGCTCATGACAGGGATGCTAACTCAACCGCAAACAGCAGCAACGCATCAGCACCGGGACGCAGAGTTCTTGTTTGGCACATAAAGGGCAGAGAAGCTGACAGGAGATGTCTGAGCAAAGCAGAAACAAAACAGGATAACAAGTATTTGATTTGCATGTGTGCATGTGTCTCATGTTTCTCATTTCTCTCACTCCTAGCCAGCCTGTATTAAATAACTGAACACTGCAAACAGAAAGTTTTGTACTGTTTTCCAGTAATAGTATCAATGCATCCAAAAAATTAGACAGATTTACATGAAAACAATTTTAAAAAAAGAAAAAAAAAACAATTCCCTAAAATACACAGATATGCAACATATTGTTTTCAAACAAACCTTAATATATTAAGAAATAATCATTTTCAAGTAAATTAATCACATTTTATGGATGTTTACATATTTTAATAGAAAACAAGACAATGTAAAAAAAAAAGTCCCCTACCTATTTACCATTCTCACAGTCCCTATGTCTTGTTTGTACACTGACCTTTTGTGTGGCGAGTCATAAAACGTGTCTGAATAATTCCATCCCGTTGCATGATGGCGCAAAACTCCAGGAAACACAAACACACAGAAATTCTCCCGTGTCTCCGTGGAAACCAGGCTAGCTCTTCACTGATGGAGCAGGGTCTACACACGCTAGCGTAAACCATCAGGATAACACCAAAATAGAAAGCACTCCAGCACAGGGCCAGCAACATCCCCAAGTGCTCGATCAAAGTTCTCACACTACAGCAGCTAACAGCAAGTGCTCATGGGTAAAACACATGTGAGTTGAGAACAGGGGCGCCGCTAAGCGGGGGAAAGTTAGGACGATTCTAAGGGCCCACGCAGTTTTGGGAACCCCAGAGATCTGTTTTCTTAGTAGTAACAGTAGTAGTAGTAATGTAATAGAAATTATAAATGTATCTACCAAAGAGTTACAAATAAAACAAAATTACTTTCTGCATTTACCGAGCCGGGCGATTTGGTCAGTCGCACTTTTAAAAACATTTTATTTTTGCTATAGAAAATCTACAAATTCACACTCTGATTACATAGAGCAGCAGCAGGAAGCGCATGAGGTTGTCATGGCAACCAGATATGAATTACGGCTGCGCTTGTATTTTGCCACACTTAACTTAGCAATAAACACGTTGAAAATAATACACAATAAACATGTCTGTCAAAATGATCTCAAAGGAGGCTTTTATTAAAAGGTTTTATTTGTTAAGGTTCATAATGTAGAACATTTTTAAAGGGGTCATATGATGTTGCTAAAAAGAACATTATTTTGTGTATTTGGTGTAATGAAATGTGTTTATGCGGTTTAAGGTTAAAAAAACAAATTTTTCCACATACTGTACATTATTGTTTCTCCTCTATGCCCCGCCTTTCTGAAACGCGTCGATTTTTACAAAGCTCATCAGTCTGAAAAGCAAGGTGTGCTGTGATTGGCCAGCTATCCAGTGCGTTATGATTGGCCGAATACCTCAAGCGTGTGACGGAAATGTTACGCCCCTCACCATACTGTGATGATGCCCTGTCAGACTGGAGCGATGATTCAAAAACATAAAAACCCATTATAAACGAGGCATTCATTGCATCCAGTGGGGACATAATTATGGATTATAATGACTTACACTGTCTTTTTACGCGTT